GGCGCGTGAGGCCAGATCCCATTCTTTTTAAAAGAAGGGGATCATTTTAACAAGCGACGACAATGGAAACACGAAACCATGGACTTGTATGTATAAGACTATGGCGAAGCTGACAATCCACTCAGAAGCTCTGCTCATTGTCTCGTAGCTGGATTTCTCGGAACACGATCTTACCGTATTCATTGTCCATCTGTATATATACTTCTTGCGCATACTCATCCACTAGTCTCGACGAAATTAGCACAACCGAAAGCGTAAAGCTAGCGCGGGGAAGGGAGATTACGGCTGACTGTGGCAAAATCGGTGTTTTTGAACAGATCCAGTCTCCGACATATGCCGTGGTCAAAGGAAACATCAGCACAAAAAGGATGGCGAAGAGTTCTGGGAGAGACGAATTTCGACTAATTACTCAGCCGTTCCTGGCTATCTGTAATAAATTTTCTGCCAGTAAACTAGAAGTGGACTTCGAGTACACAACTTCCCAAGATTACAATGAATCCCTGTGGAAGATACAGGAGGGCTTAGAATCGCTCTGAGTCTTTCATGCAAACCACTGTTCAACCTTCTTTCTTCGCTTCAGCACATGCTTGAAAGCAAGTAACAAATTTCAATCGTAGCTTTCTTTCACCATGCAGTTCGAGTGCTGAGCTTTTTTTCTTAGGTAACATACGTTTCGACGGCGTTTCTTGTTTGTCACAATTTTCCCATCTGTATAAAGGATAAAGGATAAAGCATTTGCCGTTGATCAATCCCTTTTGGGATGCGGCACGCATTCTACTTCCATTTGTACATTCGTAGTGGCGTTTGAATGCGATGTGGCCTATACAATGACTTGCGGGGGCCAGCCGATGTACAAGTCAGTGTTTTTATCCTCCCAGACAAGTCTGGTACCAATTAACCGACCCCGGAGGGATGGAAGGCTTGGTTGGCCCGGGCGACTCACGACCCAGGATTTGATCCCCGGACCGCTCGCGTGGTAAGCGTGCCACTTGCCACTACACCACTTCCGCCCT